GCATGGCTTGCCAAGCAGTGCGTCGGTGCGCGCCCGGGACCCGAACCAGCGAACCCCGGGCCGCCGCAGCAGAGCGCGCGCACTTAACCGCTTGCGCCACCGGGCCGGCCCCTCCATAAATTCTTCTTAACCCACGCGGGACCGGCGCCCTAGCTTCTAGAGCCCTGGGTGGTGGAGGGGGGAGCTGGTAGTAGCTGGCTCGGGTGATATGCTTCTTAGGGGGCCTGGTGCTAGAGACGGGGCGGGGGAATAATGCGACCCAGTCCTGCCCAATCAGAGCCCACGGTCCCGGAATGAGAGCTGATCATGCAGTTTCACCATGGAGGGACCAGTGCTGGGGGGCGGGGGGTGCCAGAGGTTACCCAGAAGGTCAGGGAAGGCTTCCTGGAGGAAGTGACTGCAGAGCCGAGACCTCAAGTACAGTTGGAAGTGAGCCAGACTTTGGCCCACATTGTGCTGGTGCTTGGGGCCCGAGGGAGCTGAAATGGGCCTCAGAGGAGGTGCGGGTGCCCGGGGGAGGGAGGGAGGAGGGAGGGAAGCCTCGGCCCAGAGGCCCCAGTCTGAGCCTGGCCACCTCACTTTGGCCCCCTGCTCCTTCCCCTCCAGATCGAGGCGCTGCCCCCGGAGCTCTTCCAGTGCCGCAAGCTGCGGGCCCTGCACCTGGGCAACAACGTGCTGCAGTCGCTGCCCTCGCGGGTGGGCGAGCTGACCAACCTGACCCAGATCGAGCTGCGGGGCAACCGGCTGGAGTGCCTGCCCGTGGAGCTGGGCGAGTGCCCGCTGCTCAGGCGCAGCGGCCTGGTGGTGGAGGAGGACCTGTTCAACACCCTGCCGCCCGAGGTCAAGGAACGGCTCTGGAGGGCCGACAAGGAGCAGGCCTGAGCGCGGGCGGGCAGCCGAGCACTGAGCCGGCCCCGAGTGGCCAGCAGCGGGACCCCGAGGAGCCCGCAGACCCAGGAACCCAGATTCCCCGGGACCACCAGCCCAGCCTCTCGGAGGGCAGGAGCCTGGGGCCAGATGTGAGCTGGGCCGGTGGCAGGACGGTACCTGAGGGGCTGGCCCCTTTTCTCCCTCTGAGACACGTGCCCCCAGGACAGGCGCCTGTAGGGGAGATCAGAGACCTGGAGTCTGTCTCAGCGCAGTATCCGGACAATCAGGGCCTCCTCCCCAGAGGCCACCTCTGCCCCAGAGGCTGAGCCCACGCCAGAGGTCCAGGGACGCCTCCTTAGCTCTTGGTATTTATTTTTCTCCACCTCCCGTCCCCTCCCTGCAGATAACTTACACATTCCCCTGGAAGCTCAGCTCGGCTGGGGGTGTTTCAGGAAGGGTGGGCTGTGGTGCCGTCTCCTCTTAGGTGATGCTGCTGCACGTAGTGCCCGCCCAGAGTGAGCAGAGTGGTCCAGTGGGAACCAGCCGCGGGGCGGTGGCCCCAGGGGTGCCGCCAGGTGGAAAGGCCAGGCCTGGGGCAAGCCTCATCCATTTTAGATGTTTTCTTTTTAAGTAAGAAAGATTTTTTTAAGCTTTGAAAATTGAGGGTTTGGGTATTAAAAAGAAAAAACTGAAAAGAAGACACTAAAGGCCAGTGAGTTGGGGTCTCAGGGTGGGGCGGCAGTTTCCTTGAGCAGACCAGCAAGACCCGAATCGTGTTTCCTCCCCCCACCACCTGGTGGGCGCAGGCTGCAGGATGTCTTCCTAATCTGCTGTGACCTTGGTCCAGGAGTTCTGTTTGTTCCTCTCCTAGGGCGAGGAATTTTTTTGTTTTGTTTTTGCTGTCTTGTTTTCTCTCTCCTCCATGTGTCTTGGCAGGCGCTCATTTCTGAGGCTGTTGGCCAAAGGGAATGTTCTGGAGCTGCCAGGAAGGGAGGAGACTCGTGTTGGCTAATCCCCAGATGAACGGTGCTCCATTCCCCCTCCCTCGTCACAGCATTAAGGAGCCCAGAGGAGCCACCTCGCCCGGACTCTGCTTTCCCACCTCGTGTGTCATGAATTTGCCCAGCACCACCACTAGCCTCAGCTGCTTCCGTCAGCCCTGTCACCACCTGGTCCCTCGGAACAGACTGTTGGAGGTGGGGTCGTGGTGGGGAGGTCGCTGCCGGGAGGGCAGGCTCCCCAGGTTTGGGCTCCAGTGTCTGTCCCAGGCGCCCGGCACACACAGCCCCCTCAGCGCCTGGGGGCAGGGAGCCACCTCACTTTCCATAGTCATGGCGTCCCTGCCTTAGGAGGGTCCCCACCTCAGATCAATCACTTGGACACTAAGGCACGTTTCAGAGTCTCTTGTCTTAATGATTTTGTCCATTTGTCTGTCCATTTGTGTTTTCTGTGTCGTGTCATCGGATGTAACCCTCAGAAGTAATGCACACTAGCCTCTGACAACCATGAAGCAATCCGTTACCTGTGGGTCTGAACTTGTAGACTTGGTTCAAATATCAAATAAACCTGTAACAGAAAGCAGCCTCTGGGAGTCTCCATCTCATGGGGGGCCCCTTCCCTCAGCTCCCTGTGGCCCGCTGGGGCCTGTGGCCTGGTTTGTTGAGTGACCATTTCATTGGGTACCTACAAGATAGTTAACTCTGCTCCTCTCCCTGCCCCGCGCAACTGTAAGCTCGTTGGAGGCGGCTGCTGGGCGTCAGGTGGACAGAGTGTCTGTTCCGAGTCAGGTGTGGGCCCCGGCGAGGGATCCTGCAGCCAGCACGTTTCTCTGCCGGCCCACTCGCCTGTGGTGTGGGCCCTTGTGAGCTCTGCTGACCCACTGGCCTGTGGTTTGGGCCCTTGTGAGCTCTGCTGACCCACTGGCCTGTGGTTTGGGCCCTTGTGAGCTCTGCTGACCCACTGGCCTGTGGTTTGGGCCCTCGTGAGCTTTGATGGATTGGGGGAGGGAAGGGAGGGCACTGGAAGGGGAGCCAGTCCTTGTCAGGTCTTTGTCCCAGCTCAGTCATCCCCTGCATGAAGCTGGGCAGATCCCTTCCCTCCCGAGGCCTCCATCTCCCATCTGTGCAATGGGCAGTTCCACTCTGCTCTCATAGGTCCCTTGTAATTCTGACAGCCGGTCCCCAGGGCTCTGCAGAGGTGGGCTGAGAGTCACATGGGAGGGCCTGGCCTGCTCGCAGCCCCTTTGGGAGCCTGCTGAAGGTGCTGGGGTCAAGGGCAGAGGCCCAGAGAGATGGCCAGAGTGGCCTTCCAATCCTAGCTCTGCCGTTTATTTGATGTGGGGCCTCAGTTTCCTTATTTGTAAAATCAGGATGGTGTTGGCAAGCATGCAGGATTGTTCTCAGGCTTATCGTGATAATTCCGCATTTAGGTGGAGTTTTCAGCAGAGGGCCTGGCTCCTAGCACCCCGTCAGTCAACGATGTCTTCCTCCCGGCCCAGTGGGGCTTGCACTGGGCTGACGGAGGGGCCCTGGGGCTGGGGTCTTGCGGTGAAGAAGAAAGGCCATCGGGTCTGACCTTGGCCTTATGATGAGGCCTTAGCTGCTGCTCGGGCACCGCCTCTGGAACCGGCCAGAGTCTGCCTTGCCTCCCTCCACGGGACTCTGACCCCTCCGACTCTGACCCCTCAGGACTGAGCAGCTGGGCTGCGACCCCCTCGCAGACCCTCCTGTGTCTCCACAGTGGAGGTCTTGCCCTCCTGTCAGGTCTGCTACCTCTCCCGACCCCCATTCCCCAACCCGAGCTTTGGGGCTGCCCAGCACCCGGAGCAGGAGTGTTCAATCTGGAGCTGGTTAGTTTTTGGAAAAAACAGCAATGCAGAAACCCGACCCATCCACTTCCCAGAGCCGGAGCAGAATGAATGAACAGATGTGGGAGGCCCAGCCCCTTCCCCTCCCCCGATGCCTTCCCCCCTCCACCCCCTCCCCCACCCAGAGCTTCAACCACAGTGGTGGTCTTCTCTGACTACAGCAGCAGTTTGGAAAACTTGGGGAAGTTCAGAAATAAATTAAAAATACCCTTACATTCCCCCAGAACAGCCCCGCTAACGTTTGGTGAACAGTGGGTAGGCGCTCACTAAGTGCCCAGCTCTGTGTGAAGGTCATTTTCAGCAGTGAAGCATTCATCTTCCTCCTTACAATATGTACTTTTGTTATCCCCAAATTACAGATGGGGAAGTAAGGCCCAGGTGTGGACTTGAAGCCAGTCTGCCTCCCTGAGCCTCCCCCACAAGACTTTGGCGGCGGTTCCCAGGGGAATTCCTAGCCCAGCACGCCGGGCCCCTTGCTGTGCTCCTGGCACATGGCTGGTGCCTCTGTGTGTTGGAGGACTGCATCAGAAGGGCCCAGGACAGCTGGGAACCCGCCCTGCCTCCAGTGAGCTGAGTCTCAGCTGCATATCCCATTGTTCTCCCTTCAGCTGGCCCTCCTCACCCAGCCTAACCCCTCAGAATCGCTACTCTCTCCAGCCTGGAGAGCCCAAGGGACTCACCCTCCCCCGGCCCTCTGGAAGCCAGGACCAAGCAGCTACTCCCAATGCGGTGGCCCAGAAGACACGACTTCACTCGGGGTGAAGGCCCCTGAGGCCTGAGCTGTGTCACCATGCTCACTCTCAAGACACTCTGTCCCTTCGCCATTCACAAAGCGTCATCGCAGGGAAGGCCAGTGGCCGGTTTTCAGAAGCTGAAGCCAGAATGCCCCGTCAGCTGCTGAGCAGGGCCAGCTGGAAGTGGGGTGAGCGTGTGCTGTTCCCACCACGGGCCTCCGCTGTGTCAGCATGAGTTGGACACCAAACATCTTGGGGCAGGGGGTGGGGAACAGGAACCATGCTTCTCTCCCTCCTTCCGCAGCCCCCAGCCCCGGGTCCCCGAGCCCCTCCTTCTTTCTAAGATCCTCCTATCTTCTGCCCTCTGAGCTGCAGCCTAATCTGTACATCCCCTTCCATTATCCTCCCAGAACCTAGAGAGTTTCAGGGGATCAGAGCTGGGAGGGGCCCAGACAATTCTCTAGGACCTCTTGCACCTTTGGAATGCACAGCCGCTCAGCCCAGTCTGAGGTGCACGTCCCCCAGACCCACCCTGTATCCCACCCCACCCAGATGTTGATGCGGGTGGCCCGGGGACATTCTAATGCTCACGTGGGGCCCAGAGAGGGATAGACGGTCAGAGGTCAGAGGTCACAGTAATGGCAGCTGGGCTCAGCTGTCCTGGCTCTCTGGCTTCTTGCCTGATGTTCCTAGAAGAAAACTTCTGGGCACCTGGTAAGCAGCCAGCCAGCTGGGAGTAGCTTCTGGAAAGAAACCAGGAGGGAGCAGTTACAAACCATGAAGGAGATCAGCAAGGGCTAATCCTGGATTAGCTGGGGGGATGAACCGGGGTGCAGGGCTGGGGCAGAGGCAAGGGCCCCTCCAGGGGCAGGAGTGATGCGGTGCAGCTGTGCTGGGCAGGGCTGGGCCTCAGCCTGGAGGGGCCCAGGCTGGTCTGTGTGTTTGGGGGAGGGGAGCTGGGGGCCGGGATGGACTTTCTCTTTTTTTTTTTTTTTTTTACTGTGAGGAAGATCAGCCCTGAGCTAGCGTCCGATGCCAATCCTCTTTTTGCCGAGGAAGATTGGCTCTGGGCTAGCATCCGTGCCAGGATTGGACTTGCTCTGAGCAGGGAAGGGTTAAGTCCTCAGGGGCCTCCCAGGCTCCACCCACTTCCTCCTCTTGAACTTCCTCTCCAGCCTTGGCGGCAGCATCAGAGCCACCCTGCACCCTGTCTCGTCCTCATGGCCTGCCTGAGCTCCTCCCAGCTGCAGAAGGTAGGGCCCGGAGGGTCAGGTAAGAGTGGGGCATCTCTCCGGACCTCAAGTAGTCCCGGGGACTCAACCCCACCCCTTGCCATTTTTCAAGAAGAAGATACTGAAGCCCAGAGTGGTCAGTTCCCAACCAGGACCCCTAACTTCTTCACACACAGTCGGGGGCGTCCAGGCTACAGGACCTGGCTGGGGTGGGAGTGTGTGTGTGTGCGTGACCGAAATCAGAATAAAGCACGGGGATCAGGCAGGACTGGCTTAGGCCTGGGCCCTGCAAGTGGAGGGGCGGGGACAGCTGAAGGGCCCCGGCCCTCTAGAGCCAGTCCTGGGGCAGAGCCAGGCACAGGGCGGCCGGATTCCCTGTGCATTCCAACAGGAAAGGCTAACCCATGGGAATTAGACAGACTGTATAAACAACTTGACCCTTGTTGTTTCTTTCTGACGGCAATAGAAAAAATACAGAAAAGCTCGAAGAAGAAAATGAAAAACCACCCATAGGGCCGGACCCGTGGCTTAGTGGTTAAGTGCATGCGCTCCGCTGCTGGCGGCCCGGGTTCGGATCCCGGGCGCGCACTGACATACTGCTTCTCCGGCTATGCTGAGGCCGGGTCCCACATACAGCAACTAGAAGGATGTACAGCTATGACATACAACTATCTACTGGGGCTTTGGGGGGAAAATAAATACATAAAATTATGAAAAAAAAAAAGAAAAACCACCCATAAATTCCTACCGTGAGAGAATGTTTTGAAATATTGCCCTAGAATCCTTAAAAGGTCCACCTTAATAGCTAACACTTATTGAATGCCTGCCGTATGTTTTATAAAGTAGGCAGTACTCTCCTCCCCATTGGATGGTCTGAGGCTCAGAGAGGGACAATGCTTGCCCAAGTTCTCCCAATGGCTAAGATACTAATTTGCATTCGGCTTTTTTTTTTTATGTCTGTTAATTTTAATTTCTTTTTGGGGGAAGATTGGCCCTGAGCTAACATCTGTTGCCAATCTTCCTCTTTTTCTTTTTTCTCCCCAAGGCCCCAATACATACTTGTGTGTCCTAGTTGTAGGTCCTTCTAGTCTTCTATGTGGTACACCGCCTCAGTATGGCTTGATGAGCGGTGAGTAGATCTGTGCCAGGAGCGAAACCCGTGAACTCCGGGCCACTGAATTGGAATGTGCAAACTTAAACCCTACACCACCTGGCCAGCCCCTCAGCTTTTATTTTTCATCACACGGTATTCCAGGAACGTATTCCCATGTCAGTAAATATTTTTCTGCCACACGATGTTTATCAGCTGTGTTGTGTGCCAGGTAGATAAACCACACTTGGTTGAATGAATCCCCTTGTGCTGAGCATTTAGGTAGTTTCCCGTTTATTGCTCATTAAACAAGCCTCCGTGAATACCCCTTACACATACGTCTTTGCTTCCCTACTTGCTAATCCTCCAACTTCTTATCTCAAGAAGTCCTGGCAGTGTGTTTACTGGATCATGGGTGTGCGTGGTTTGCTGTGGATGACCCAGTTCTCAAGGAGGCAATCAATGTTCAGGTTGCTGCTGATATGGGGATTAAGTTTCTAACATGCAGAGCTGCCCAGAAACAGGAGGGCCCGTGGTGGGTGGTCATGAGTGTTCCAACATCCCTTGTGGGGAAGCCAGAACTGGGCATCCATGGGAGAGGGAGGGAGGGAGGGAATGGGGGCAGTAACTGGAAATCACACACTTCACAGTGGGTTCAAGAGGTGACTTCCAATGCCCCGGTTAGGGTTAAGACTTTATAATTCTCTGCTAAGCGAACATGTGGATATTCTTTCTCTCCTTACTTCTCTCAATAGCCTCAGCATAACAGGACTGGAGGCGAAGCAGAATAAGCCATCAGTTTTAACTCCCCGCTGGCTGCCCGCTGCACTCAGGATAGAGCCCCGCTTCTCGCCTGGCCCGGCCCCGCTGCCCTCCTGCCTCCCTTCCACCCTCGCTCTGCTCTGTCAGGTCCCAGCTCCTCCTGTGCCTCCCACGCTCTCTTGGTCTGGAATGCTCTTCCCTGTCTCTCCCATTATCCTGCTTGTCCCCTTTATGTGTCACTTCCTCAGAGCTGCTGCCCTGAGCCGCTCTCCCCTCATCTGGTTGACAGTAGACTCTTTGGCCTTAGCCCTCACGGCCCTCTCCCTCTTGCACTCAGCAGTGTCTGGTAGTGTGCTGCACCGTGTGGTAGTGTGCTCCCTTGTGTGCTGGTGTGTTTGATGTCAGGCTCCTTCACGAGACGGTAAGTTCTGGGAGCACAGGCCCCCTGGCTGGCTTGCTCATTACTGAATCTCCAGCTCCTAAAACCATGTCTGGGGGCCGGCCCCGTGGTGTAGTGGTTAAGTGTGTGCACTCCGCTGCTGGCGGCCCGGGTTCGGATCCCGGGCACGCACCGACGCACTGCTTGTCGGGCCATGCTGAGGCGGCATCCCACAAAAAGTGGAGGAAGATGGGCACAGATGTTAGCTCAGGGCCGATCTTCCTCACACACACACACACAAGAAAACCCGTATCTGGTGCACAGTAGATGCTCAATCAATTTTAGTTGAATAAATGAGTGAGGCTGTATTCCCATGTGACCCAAGCCCATTGGAGGGGAAGGGTGGGGACACCTCCCCTTCCCCTTCCTCCTTCCTTCATTCTTCATTCAAGCAGCCAGCACTCATAGCTTCTCAGTGGGTGCCAGACACCCCGGCCAGGCTGGGGACAGAGCAATGAACAGGACCCTTGGTCCTGCCTTCCCATAGCTTCGGGTTTGGTGGAGGGGTCACATCAGTCCTCAGAAAGAGCGTCTGAGGGCAGGGGGAAGCCTGAGTCTCCTTCCCGCCCGCAGTTCCAGGAGGATGGATTCCTGGTGCTGGAAGGATTCTTGTCTGCAGAGGAGTGTGCGGCCATGCAGCAGAGCATTGGCCAGATAGTGGCCAAGATGGATGTCCCTCTCCACTGCCGCACAGTATTTACCACGAAGGAAGAGGAGCAGAAGCGAGCCCAGGTAAGTGCCTGGGCAGGTGAGGATGGGATCTGGTCTGTGATGGGGGGCTCAGTCCCCAGCCAGAGCAGCAGCTCTTGGGCTCATTCTCATAACAATCAGGCCCGAGCCTTCCGTGCGCCTGGCGCCAGGCTAAGTGCCTTATATGCATATTTCCTTCACTTCCCACTATGAATTTATTAGGGAGCCATTATTGCCTCCGTTTGACAGGTGGGGAAAATGAGGCTCGGTGCTCTTGCCCTAAACCACACGGTTAGGTTAGTAATTGATAGAGGGAGGATTTGAACCCAGATCTGTGGGATACCAAGTCTGCGCTGTTCCCTGCTCTGCTGCACTTCCTCAGTGGTTCTCCCACAAAGGTCCTCTTGGCGGCAAGCAACCTGGCATGAGCCAAGTGATTCTGTGGGCCACTTGAGTAAGTCCTATCCCGCAGTGAGACTAGGAACTGTTTGTTTCCCCCTGGTGACTTAAAAGGTCTCAATACAGTCTGAGATGGGTAAATTGAGACTCGAGGGTTCTCCCACACGGTTCTCTTAACCTTTCAGAGTCTGAATTTACAAGCCTGTCTGCAGCGGGCCTCCAAGCCAAAGCTGCGGTCCAGGCCCATTGATGGGGCTCACTCACGCTGAGGAGCTCCTGCCATCTCGTGGCCATAAGGGGAATTACAATGGCCAGAAGCCTCACCACCCAGAGAACAGGGACTTGAGAAGGAAAAAGGGTGAAAGAATGACAACTTCCTCCAAACCATCAGTTTCATTTGGCTGCATGGCAGCCTTCCAGGTGGGGAAAGCAGAGACAGGGGTCCTGTGTCCAGGGACAGGTCATTCAAGGGCTCCGAGGAGTGAGGGGGGCTGAATCTTGTGCCCTCCAAGCTGCCTTCCGAGAATGCTCCAGAGACCGGGAAGAGGGTGGGGGGAGGACGGGAGAGGAGTGTATATATCTTGGTTTATAACGCGTGCAAAGAGCTCGGCACAGTGCCTGGTACTCAGTAAGCCCTCAATATTCACTACTGATACCATCTTGAAAGACTTCAAAATGGGTATTGAAAGAAAAGATCCATGGGTGTCCCATCTAGACCTCCCTTCCGGCTTACCTCCACTTTCATTGTCTTTGGATTATTTGACAACTCAGTGAGTTGTATAGAACTGACAATAATGTACGAGATACTAGTCCACAGGAATAGACATGAATGGGGTCCAGCAGAATGCAGTTATTGCTCTGTAGATAGATCAGTATCACATCCATTTGTAAATTGCTCTCAGCATTTCTCAATGCCTACGTGTGTGGTTCTTGGAATTCTCCTTTGACCCTCTTACTGGTACGCAGGTGAATTAACGAGTTAAGTAAAATCTTTGACATGTTTAGCATCACTGTCTTTAATATTATTATTATTATTATCAATTACGCTTCCCTGACTTGTTTCCCTCACCCTGATCCTGGTGTAGAGGAACTAAGAATGTTGAAAAAAACACTTTTAGTTTCCAGTGGGAAGGGCCTGGAAATGGCCCTGCAGGCCCACGTGAGAGCTGACGTTCACACGTGAGGAGGGGGCGGGGACTGTGCCACCTGGGGAACGCAGGTAGGGGGGCGGTGCCACTCAGCTCCACTCATGTGGCCACACAGGAAGGTAGGGAGATGTATATGATGGTGGTCAAGGGTGGCTAAAGCCACAAGGAAGACATGGGGTGTCTTCCTGGAGCATTGTTTTCATACGATGCTAAGAAATTTTAAACATGATACTAAAATTAACAAGGAGAGGTTATTAAGAAAGCAGAAAAGGTCAGTCATAGCTTCTATTTATCAAGCATTTAACCATACCCTTGCTGAGTATTTCCTATGTAGCAGCAGTAGTAATAATAATAAAAGCAAATACTCACATGGCACTTAGCACACTGCAAAGACTGTTCTAGTGCTTTCTGTATACCTACTCATCATGCCTGCAACACCCTATGAGATAGGTACCGTTAACAGCATCTGTATTTTATGAGGAAACTAAGCCCAGAGAGGTTCAGTAATGTGGCGTGGTCACACAGCCAGTCAGTGGCAGAGCTGGGATTTGACCCCAAGTAGCTCCAGGGTCTGTGCTCTCAACTGGTCTAAGATTCAGCCTCAACCTGAAGCCTCCAACAATCTGGGGGAGGTCAGTTCTATTATTATTCCCCTTTTACAGATGAGGAAACTGAGGCTTTGAGAGTTAAAACAAGTGGCCCAAGGCTACCTGGGGACCAGGCCTGTTTGAGTCTAGTGCCCATCTTCTGAATCACACCGCATCGCGTATAAGAGTCACGTGACTTACCGAGAGGTTTCCAAGAAACTCCATGCTTGTAGCTTCCGGCTGCACTTCCAGGCATTGAGGTTAATCCCGTTCATTCACTGTCTGTGCCTCAGTGGACAAGTTTGAGAAGCGCCAGCGGGCTCTGGAGCCCTTGGCGTGGGAAGCATCCGAGTCCTCTTTCCCCTTTGCCGGGCCCAGTTCTGACCCCGTGACGCTCTCTCAGTCCCTCTGACGCCCCCTCTCCACAGAGCAAAACAGAATATTTCTTGAGCAGCGGCGACAAGATTCGATTCTTCTTTGAGAAAGGCGTTTTTGACGAGGAAGGTTGGGAGCTGGGGCCCGAAGGGGGGAGGTGTGGGGAGGGGCTGGACCCGGGTATCTGCCCCCAGGGCTGGTGGGCCCTGAGACAGCTGCCCGGGGCAGGGTGGACTCCAGCTCTTCTGCCTGTACCTGCCCTACAGGAAACTTCCTGGTTCCCCCGGAGAAATCCATCAACAAAATTGGCCACGGTAAGTAGGTGCCTGGGGGAAAGGAAATGGGGAAACTGAGGCCTGCAGAGTTTCGGGGCCTTACCTAAAGCCCACAGTAGGTTAGTGGCCCATCAAATGGCATTTCTGGCTGCAGCTCCCACTCTGGCCCTTCTGCATCTTATGATGCTGATCACATCGCATGCCCTCAGGGCACTGGGAAGAGGGTCCGCTGATCCCCCCCATGCAGAGGGCACGTGCAGATGATCCAGGCCCCGGGCATGGGGGCTCCTGGGTCCCACTGCTTCCTGGAGCCTCCTTGAGGAGCATCAAACGTGTTGACATGGTCCCTGTTCTGACACCCCAAACCAAGCTAGGAAACTCTTTTTTTCTTTTTTTTTCAGGAACATACAGTATAATTTATTTTCCAGAGCACTTTTTTTTTTTTCTTGAGGAAGATCAGCCCTGTGCTAACATCTGCCAATCCTCCTCTTTTTTTGCTGAGAAAGACTGGCCCTGGGCTAACATCTGTGCCCATCTTCCTCCACTTTATACGGGACGCTGCCACAGCATGGCTTGCCAAGCGGTGTGTCGAGTGCGCGCCCGGGATCCGAACCGGTGAACCCCGGGCCGCCGCAGCGGAGCGCGTGCTCCTAACCACTTATGCCACTGGGCCGGGCCCTACACCACTTATTTTTAAACTTGAAGTTATATCATGGTAGCTTTGTAAAAAAAATTGTGGTCAAATACATATAACATAAACCATTGTAACCATTTTGAAGTATACAGTTCAGTGGCATTAAGTACCCTCAACTCGCACTTTTTGTAATAACAACAATAATAGGAAATAATGAGAAGAGCCACTATTCCATGCCAGGCTCGGCCGTGGTCGCATGTGCGTTGGCCTATCTGGTCCTATGGCAGCCTGGGAGGCAGGGCTGGTCTCTTCTAGTCCCATTGTACAGAGAGGAAACTGAGGCTTATAGGAGAGAAATGATGGCTCAAAGTCGCATAGAGTAAGTCGTGGTACCGAGATTGCTGCCAATGTATGGGGCCCATGGCGTCAGAGCTGTGAGGTTCCCAGATGGCTGCAAGCTCAAGATTAAGGTCCTGGGTGGGGTGGGGCCTGAGGTGGGGTGAAGGCATCTGTGGGACCCATTACTCAGTTATAAACAGGAAGATAGCTTAATGCACACAAATAGGTGAAAATGTCAAAGTGAGGCCTGAGTCTAGGTGCCCAGGGCTAGACCCGGAAGGGATGCATGGGGGCGGGAGACGGGCCCGTCCACCACATCTGTCCCACAGCTCTGCACGCCCACGACCCTGTCTTCAAGTCTGTCACCCACTCCACCAAGATGCAGGTGAGCAGGGGTGGGGTGAGGGTAGGTGGGTGGGCCAGATGTGAGTGTGAGCAGGCCGGCAGTGACCTCTGCCTCCTTCCAGGCCCTGGCCAGAAATCTGGGCCTCCAGACGCCTGTGGTGGTGCAGAGCATGTACATCTTTAAGGTGAGCGTCCCGTGCTCCCCAGGCTCAGGTGAGCCTCTTTATAACAGGCAGAGTGCTCATACGAAGCCCCTCCTTACAATGGGCCAAAAGCTGCTTCCCTGAGGAATTATTCTTAAGTTGGGAGAAGACATCAAGTCAGTCTCCTCTGGTTCAGGCTCCTGGCACTTGGTGCTCAGTTAAAATTGGGTGGCAGGAAGGAAGGGGATCCCCAGGACTCCTTCCTTCCTTCCTTTGTTGGCTAGTGAAATGCTGTGCTCCCAGCTTCCAAGGCCCAGCTCAGTGCCACCTCCTCCAAGAAGCCTTCCAGTTCCCTTAGGAAGAGAGGGACTCATCTCTAACCCTGGCTTAACCGCAGGCCCAGGCCCCAGCCTCTCCTGCTGCCCCTCACTTCTGCCTCATGTTCTCGTTAGGCGTGTGTGCGCTCAGACTGGGAGCACCCGTCGCGAGGGTGGTGGTTCTCTGTGCAGCCCTCCTGGGCGTGGCACACAGTAGGTCCTCGATAGCTGGTGCTGATGTGGAATCCTCGGAGGTAAACACCTGTAGCCGGGGAAGAGCATGCCCCAGACTCAGAGCAGGCCCCTGCTCCCCTCTGCTCTCCTCTGGCCTCACCTGGCCCTTCCTCTCTCTTGCAGCAACCTCATATTGGCGGTGAAGGTGAGCTGAGAACAGGCCGTGGGGCCCAGCAAAGACCACGGAGGGAGATCTGGGACGTTAGTGGTTGTCAGGTCTTCAGAGGGAGGGAAGGTGCTTGCCGAGATGTCTGTAGGGCAAGAGCCTGGGCCAGGGAGGAGAAGCTACCTTCCGTCCTTCCTGGAACAGTGGATTGGGAGCGCATCCTGTAGTCCTGGGCGCAGTGGTTCTGGAACCTGGCAGCAACTCCTCGCTGGTTAAAAATACAGATTCCTGGGCCCCATCCCGTGAGATGGAGTCAGTAGGGCAGCATGGGCCTGGGAATCTGTATTTTAACAAGTTCCCTGGAGGACTGATTTAACATAGAAATTGCTGATCTAATTCCAACCCCTCAGGATGCACAGATACCCTTTCTAGCCTCCCTCGTAGGCGATTATCCACTTCTGCTCCAACACCTCTGGTGACAGAGGCTCAGCTCCTCACAGGCAGCCCTTCCTTGCATGAGTCCAGTTGGCCCCCTTGTGACCACCCTCCTCCCCAGCATTCAGCCTGAGGACAGTCTCCTGAAGGGATGCCTAGCCCCTCCCCGAGTCCAGCACCCCCACTTCCTTCAGCTATTCTGCCTTGGAATGTTTTACAGTGCGCACCATTAGGACCCCTTCCTCTAGACACTGTGAGATTGTCAAAGTCTCTCTTAAAATTTGGTGCTCAGAAAACACAGTTCCCGTGGAGGAAGGAGGGGAGATGAGCACCCCCTTTACTTTGTTATTCCAGACTCAGGTCCTTTGCTCGGTGGTCTACCTTCCCGGCTGGGCCCCAGAAGCATGTGGGGGGTTAAAATGTGGATGTTCAATCAATTGCCCCCTCTTACTGCACTGGCTGGATCATCTGGTGGTGGAGGCGCTCGTCTCTGGTTAAGGGCGGTGGCTTTAGTTACTGGCTGCAATTAAACAACAGCAGCTACGTTTTAGCAAGCAACCACAATGTCGGGCCCTGTACGAAGCACTTTTCCTACAGTCTCATGGGATTCACCAGCAGCCCTATAACGTAGGTTATTGTTGGGGCCACTTTATGGGTTAGGACATTGCAGCTTTGAGAGGTGAAAGCTCTAGCCCTGAGTCTCCAGGCCAGGAAGTAGGGAAATTCGAACCAATCAGGAGATGGGAAGGCTGGGCTGGAGGGCTCTGAGAGGCCTGGGGAGTGGGGCCGGGCTCCTCATGCCCAGCCGGGCCTGCTGCAGTCTTGCCCCATCAGGACGCCACCTTCCTGTACACGGAGCCCCTGGGCCGGCTGCTGGGTGTGTGGATCGCGCTGGAGGACGCCACGCTGGAGAACGGCTGCCTCTGGTTCATCCCTGGCTCCCACACCAGTGAGGACACCTGCCTCTCCCTGCCCACTAGTACGCCCCTCACTGTGGGAGAGGGACCCTGAAAGAGAGGCTAAAGGATCCATTTTGGCCTGCAGGTGGAGTGTCGAGAAGGATGGTCCGGAACCCTGCGGGCTCGACGCCTGGGACCTGCTTCCAGGGGTCAGAGCCAGCCCGGGACAACAGCCTCTTTGTGCCCACACCAGTGCGGAGAGGTAAGCGGGATGCAGAGGACAGGGAGGCAGGGCCCTGAGGCCATGCCTGTGGGCCTGTGCTCTGAGGGCTCACCCGGCTCACCTGAGGGCTGTGAAGTCCCAGAATGAGACAAGGTCAGACTGATTGGGCCCAGGGAAGTCGGGAAGCAGTGGGGTTAACAAGGTCTCCCGGATCAGGCTGGAATCCAGACTCTCCTACCTCCCAGCTGTCTCTTTGGGCAGATGACTGAACCTCTCTGAGCCTCAGTTTCCCCAAATGTAAAGCCAGTCAGAGGATGTGTATGAGATGTTGACACGGAACCCGTGTGGTGCACAGCAAGTGCTCGACACACTGGCCGTTAGGACAGCCTCTTCCTCTCAGAAACGGGAGAACTGAGGACCACCTCGGCACTCGCTGACACGGTCCCGGCTGCCTGGACAGCACACACAGCTTCTTCCTGGTTCGGCAAACACCATGGAGGGGGATGCCCTTGCTAAGGCTTGCCAGGGGCACAGGCCACAGCAGAAGGGACTTATCCCAGGGGAACCCACGTCCAACAGCACAGCCTCTGACACTGGGGCCTGCTGCAGGCCTCTGAGCCTTCAGGGGTGGGAATGGGGATGGACAGGCCATAGAACCACTTGCGGGAGGAGGGCCCCATGTCCCTTCCTGCCGTGACTGTTCTGACTTGCTGTGTCCCCACCAGGGGCCCTCGTCCTAATCCACGGAGAAGTGGTGCACAAGAGCGAGCAGAACTTCTCTGACAGTTCGCGCCACGTCTACACTTTCCACCTCATGGAGGCCTCTGGCACCGTTTGGAGCCCGGAGAACTGGTAGGTTGCAGGGTGTGCATGTAGCCCAGTCTCCTGAAGAGGTCCTGGAGGCTGGGAGCAGTGAAGAGGCATCTCAAGGTCATCTCCTCTGTCCTCTGCAGGCTCCAGCCAACAGCTGAGCTGCCCTTTCCCCCCCTGTACACCTAAAGGCCCTCAGGGCTGGGACACTGCCCCTCCTGGGGAGGCTGTGGGCTGCAAACACCAGCATCTTGCCCGACCGCCAGGCTGCAACCAGGAAGCCGCATCTCTCCTCCTGGGCTCTCCTGCCAGTGTCTGCGGCCGACAGCCCTGCAGATGGGGCACGAGGTGGCCGCCGGGCAGCAGGAGCCCGGGCCGAGTGGCTTTCCCAAGACCTCTGTCTCTCTGCCTCCCTACGGCCCCAATAGCCTCCCCCTAGAGGCAGCCTCTCAGCCTTGAAAGGGTTCTGGCTAATTTTCTGCCGGCTTCTTACTCTTCTCTCCCCTCAGATGAAACTCGGATTATTACAGTGCAAGATATTGAATAAAAATGACTTCCAAATGCAGTTTCTTGATCTTTCTTTCCCAAGCAGCCTTGCTCTCAAGATGAGAGGCCTGCTGAAAATCACCCCAGGTCCCCCAGCCCAGCCTGGGGAGGGTTGCCTGATTTTTACACCAGTAAGTAACATTTCGTGGGTGCTCACCATGCCGAGAGCTCCACGTGCCTCGTCTCACTGAGTCCTCACTCCTTCCAGGTCTGGGCTCTCACCATCCGCATTTACAGGTGAAGAAGCTGAGGCACGGGGAGCCCCAGTCACACAGTCTTGCAGTTGTTCAGCAAGGTTACCATGGTCATTATTCATATTACCAGTAATCAGAATGAGGTGGCCCAGTTCCATAACCTGGGGCGCCTGTTTCTCTCCCAAGAGAACAGACCTATTTGTCAAACACTTGGTTTAAAATGTAGATTCTAGGGCCGGCCCCATGGCTTAGCGGTTAAGTGCACGCCCTCCGCTACTGGCAACCCAGGTTCGGATCCCGGGCGCGCACCGCTTCTCCAGCCATGCTGAGGCGGCGTCCCACATCCAGCAACTAGAAGGATGTGGAGCTATGACATACAACTATCTACTGGGGCTTTGGGGAGAAAAAGGGGAAAAAAAGGAGGAGGATTGGCAATAGACGTTAGCTCAGGGCCGGTCTTCCTCAGCAAAAGGAGGAGGTTTGGCATGGATTTTAGCTCAGGGCTGATCTTCTTCACACACACAAAAATAAATAAATAAAATGTAGATTCTAGATTAGAAAATAGGGAGTAAAGTAAAATCACAATTGTATTTGAAGTAAATATACACAGAAACATGTGGAAGGTTATTACCCCTTGTAAAGTCAGTGGGTAACCCAGGCCTGTGTTCTTACAGGAATTTCTTTTTGTCTTTATGTTTTTTTATATCTTCCCAGCATTCTCCAGGGAACATCCAATACCTTTTTTATCTCGTTACAGTCTCACAGACCGTTGGTTATAAGCAACGTATCATGGTGGGGAGGTCATGGATGGGATGATCCCAGGACAAGATTCCTTTCGCACGATTCTTTTATGGCACACCCCCTGTATGTCACTGGCTGCATTTCCTGAATATGCCTTCTTATCCAGTGTTTCCCAAACGTGGCCAATCATTCGTGTCATCAAAGTCAGGTGCTAAAACTCAGATTCGCAGGCTCTCTCTGAGACCTGCTGAGTTGGACTCTCAGGGGCAGAATATGTGGCTGTGTTTTAGTTTCCTTATACACCCACGCAGATGCACACAGCGAGAGATGATTTTACATAAATGCATGAGTGTGATCACGTCATCCAGCTTAGAGTGGAGACCGGTCTGGTTTTCTTGTCCTCTCTCTGCCCGGGAGCCTGTCATTACACCTGCTGTGTGTGTCCTGCCGGTTTCCGCTGGGAGCTCCCGGAATCCTGTATGGACATAACCCCACACACACATGTACAATTTTTAAAACTTCCCTCTTTGTTTTATAAGAGTGAGTGCATATTAAGCCCCCTCTTCTGCTTTTGGCTTTTCTCAGACTTCGCATGAGTCTCTTCAGGTCAGTGGTGCCGCTTCAGGGCGGCTGGTTCCAAGTGAGCTGGGAGTTTTCAACAAGCCCCACTGGTCAGTCTGGTCACTAGTAGGATGGGGTCTAGACAGGAATTCCGAATGCCCTTGCACGGACGTGGGCGTGCACCTGCAGAAGCTGTCCATCAACAACGAGGGCACCAAGCTCATCGTGCTCAACAGCCTCAAGAAGATGGTGAAACTGACGGAGCTGGAGCTGATCCGCTGCGACCTGGAGCGCATCCCCCACTCCATCTTCAGCCTCCACAACCTGCAGGAGATCGACCTCAAGGACAATAACCTCAAGACCATCGAGGAGATCATCAGCTTCCAGCACCTGCACCGCCTCACCTGCCTTAAGCTGTGGTACAACCACATCGCCTACATCCCCATCCAGATCGGCAACCTCACCAACCTCGAGCGCCTCTACCTGAACCGCAACAAGATCGAGAAGATCCCCACCCAGCTCTTCTACTGCCGCAAGCTGCGCTACCTGGACCTCAGCCACAACAACCTGACCTTCCTCCCCGCCGACATTGGCCTCCTGCAGAACCTCCAGAACCTGGCCGTCACGGCCAACCGGGTGAGTGGCCCAGCAGCGGCTCTGCACACGGGCTAGCGGGCAGACTGGCCGTGGCCCATGGTGGGGGTGCTCACGAGGCCCAGTGTCTCGGGACCGTCCGATGCTCCTGGTTTGTAGTCCTCGCCTGTGGTTCCCACAGCCACCCGGGAGGAGCTTGTTGAACATATAGATTCCTGGGCCCCACTCCAGACCTGCTAAATCAGGATCTCCGGGGTGGGGAACCTGCCTTTGTCAGAGAATGCTGCAGAGTTCTCGTGCCAGGAGGGATGGTGTGGTCAGGCAGGGCCTGTCCCCAAGGTGACCTTGGGCTGGGTTCCTCATAGGCAGGGATGTGCACAGACAGGAGTTCCAAGGCATGTGGTTCTCTCTCACACCCCTTTCCCATCTGCGTTTTGGGGGTGGTGGAGGGCAGGTTTGGGCTTAGTTGGGCTCACTTGTCACCATCTGCCTCTCTGGAGAGAAAATTGTGCAAACACTTGAGGGCCAACAGTGTGGGAGGTCATGCCCTAGAGGTGCCCTTGAGACTGTTGGCGGCCCCTATGCGCCAGCCCTTGCCTGGCCGGGGAAGCTCCCGCCCAGGGGCCCCTCCACGGAGGCAGGTGAGTGGGGTTGAGGGCAGGGTGCTTCTGTGGCTTTGTGGTCTGTGATGGAGCAACCCTAGAAGGCTCCTGGGAGGGTTGTCTTTTTTCAAAGACAGGTAGATTGAGGCCACTTCAGTGCTGATGGGGGAGCCACCGAGGTCCCTGAGGAGAGAGCGGGATGGGGGTGACGGAAAATGACTTCAAGCCTTCAGCAGACAAGCGATACCTCAGGACGAGGACAGGTCCAAAGGACAGGTGTGGTTCTGGTGGCATGCTGAGCCACTGAAGGCGTCTTCTCTTCTCTCTGTGGGGCCTGGAGAGAGCTCACTGGCTGGGGCATGGCATGTTCTGGGGAGGGGGCGTTTCAGGGAGGGAGCTATGCAGCCAGGCCAACAGTATGTGAACCCCACTCTCTGGCCGGACGACGGAGCCTTTCCCACTGCTCCTGACCACCGTGCGGTCAGAGGAGGCCGCTGCAGGGGGAATGGGGTCCCTGGGCGGCTCTGGCCCCTCTGTCCTGCCGGAGCCCACTTCCATCTGCTGTCTCACCGTCACGTCCCTGAACTTCGGCCCGGCAGACCTGGCAGCCACCTCTGCCCCATTCTTGACCATTGGGCACAGCGGTGGCGGTTTTGGAGGCCCAGGTCAGGAGTCTCCTTTAAAACATCCACGTGGCCCAGCCATGGCCACACTGATTTCCCGGCTGGGAAGGGCAAGTTCCTCGCCTGGAACCGGGGTCCTCGTCCGGAAATGGACAGAGAGACCAAGAGCCTGTGAGGTCCCAGTCGGCCCAGAGGTCCTCGCTCACTGAACAGCTGAGTCGAGGGGCGTTTCTAGTCCAGCCCTTTCCTTCTGCAGATGGGGAAACTGAGGCCCAGGGAGGGAAGGAGACTTGCCTAGGGTTACATGACCAGTGAGCACCACATTTGGCAGATGAGACTACAGCGCAGCTCTGAGTTGGAGGAAGCAAGCCTCGCATCGTCTCTTGCCCGTTTCTGGCCGTGCAACCTCAGACACGCTGCGTTTCACCTTTCCAGGCCTCAGCCTGCTCAGCAGGAAAATGGGGACAGTGACAGGGCAAGCTGAGAGGGGTTATTGTACGTCTCCCCATCATCCGCACGAGCAATCGGGGCGCTAGTCTCCTGGCTCCTGCCCTGTGGGTAGGGTCCCTCCTGCCCGTCGTATCTGAAGGAGGTTATTTTAGGACAGACAGGCTCAGGAAGAAGCCTGATCACTCACAGAGGGCAGGGAAGCAGCTGGCGTTTATGGAGCCCTTCCTGTGTGCTGGGAGACACAGCATGTCCCCTCTTGGGCCACCCTGTTTGTTCCAAGCTCCACCAGCAGTGTGAGCAGTTGGCAGAGCGTGGGCTATTGAACCCATGGGTTCAAATCTTGGCTCCACCACTTTCCAGCTGTGAACGTCTGGGCTTCTTCAGGGCCTCAGTTATCCCATCTGTAAAATGGCAAGAGTGTTTCCAGAGTATTCACAGGTAGTTCTGAGGGTTAAATGAGTTACAGTAGCAGTGCTCAGAGCCAGCCTGCCATGGAGTGAGCTGCATATGGTTGTTGCCCGTCATTCAAATTTTGCAAAATCAGAAGGAGCGGACTCCGGGCCGGCCTGGTGGCTTAGCGGTTAAGTGCGCATGCTCCGCTGCTGGCGGCCCGGGTTCGGATCCCGGGCGCATGCAGACGCACCGCTTCTCCGGCCATGCTGAGGCCATGTCCCACATACAGCGAGTAGAAGACTGTGCAACTATGACATACAGCTATCTACTGGGGCTTTGGGGGAAAATAAATAAATAAATAAATAAAAATTAAAATAAAAAAAAAGGATCAGACTCCAAATGGCCAATACTGTGCTCCCTGCCCTCATGATCAGCCTGTGACTTGACAGGTGAGGAAACTGAGGCCCAGGAAGAGGAAGTGACACAGCTGGGATTCTCACCCCTATTGGCGAGCTGTCCCCAGTTCTCAGAAACAGTTCAGGGTGTGGAATGTTCCCAGCGTGCTGTCTGCTTCCATAAATTCTTCTTTTTTTTTTTTTTTTT